CCCCAAAACCCCAAAACCCCAAAACCCCAAAACCCCTATATAATTAAGATTGTAAAATTAGAATAATGAAAATATTATAGCAAGGAATCCTTATGGTTTTCCTCGTAAATTTTTAAGGTCTTGGATGAGCATTGACATTCAAGAGCTGTCATCACTCCGGAGGGCATCTTTTAGCCAGACCTTGTTCTTATTGGATTTTTTCTTAGGAGATATGTGAGATGTGACCTTCGAGCCAACTTTTATAGGTGAGAAGCAGTCTTTAGACTCCTCGAATGGTCATTTTTGGTACATTTTTAGGAAAATAGACTCTTCAGGAGTAAATATAGGATCAAGTTCGTATACTTTTTCAAGAATAGGTTTGATCTTTATGGTATCGATGGTCTCATTCAAAATTCTGAGATTATCAAAGTCTAAATGATAAGGAAAGTTCTTACTAATGATGGTAGAATCAACTATAATCTTTTCTAATCTATGAATCTCGGATTTATAACTATCTCTTCCTATGGTATTAGAGAGAATATTTACGCTTGCTGAACTCAGGATGAGATGTCTGAGTAAATACTTTCTCATCAATGTTATGCCTTCTTACTTCACAACCGTCAGGACATTTGTTAACAGAATCAGCAAAGGAGTATACCTTGCCACAGCACTCGTATATTTTAGAGGAGGAGCAAATTGATTGGCTGTAATCTTCAGGATGATACATTCACTGATCTAGCTCGATTCCTTTGTAATATTGGTTACAAAAGGCTCAGTGCATTGTAATGGTGGATGCCCAAAGCATCCAGTAAATATTCCTCCACTGCAAGTTCTTATCCCTAAGAGCCATTACGTAATCATTCAGGTCGAAGTTAAAGTCAATATTGTGCTGTGGGATTAATTTCCCTTGATAGTTAATAAACCTTCAAGTTGAGTTATTTGCACGGAATGAGATCTGCTTGAGATTTTGTAAACAAACCATTGCAGTTAAGTCACCTAAACAGGAGGCAGGAGCTATCCTCAAAGTATCACTCAAGTTTCTTCTTAAATAGCCTTGATAAGAGGTAATTCTTCTTATTTCCAAGAGTCTCAAGGCTATCAATGTTAACTGAATCAGCGAGTTTCTTCGCCAAATGAGACTTGTAGGGAGGTATATTATCCACATTCCCCACGATTTCAGCCAAGTGTTTATTTGATATATCCAAGGCATTCTTCAACGAGATCTTCCATTACCAAGGAATCAGCAGAGACTAGAATGGAGCTGACATTTCTGTTGTCAAAAGAAGGTTTCTCCTTAGCTGGGTCGATATATTTCATCAGCCATTTGAAGACATCTATCTGGCACTGTACTGTAATATCAAGCTCATTGAGCAGAGAGAATTTGATGCAGTCAGAGTGAGAATTAGTGCTACCGTTGATTTTGCACGTCTTACAGTCCTCACGCTTAAGGTTCTTACTCTGGCTATTTATACTGCTTGCTCTTCATGTAATGTGAAATATATCCCTCAAAGAACTTCATTCGGGACATGAGGAGTCTTTGGTTTACCGTAAAATCTTTCTTAGACGTAGAATTTGGGTCAGCCACATGTATTACAATATTCTTATTAAAAGAGCCTCCCTTGGGACTTAAGTTAGCCTCTTTCGCCTCTGTCTGTCTAGTAGAGCTGCTTGATTTTGAGTTCGACACTTTCGTGTTATCATCCTTGTAATCTATGAGCCATATATTAGAGGGGATCAATCTCCCGATTGGGATGAACAAGATAGAATCGTTCAGAAGTTGTTTAATATTTACCTGAACTGTCAGGAATCCCAACAATTTCTTTTCACTCTTGAATGGTTATTTTAGAGCTCTCAATAATATTATTGGTGAAATTCTTTGAGTCTAGGACTGATCGGTCTTGAGGAATACTTGAATACTGGTTTCTGGATACTTTGGAAGTAGAGGTGACAGTTTTGATTGGAGTCGCCTTCAAATTTCGAATTTCGTACTCTCCATGCTTTATACTTTGGCTCTGATGAGATCAAAGTTTATACACTAGAGAAATTAATGGGAAAATACCTTCTGGAAGCAGCTCTTCCTGAGGAAGACGGAGTGCATTTGAGTTGTTCAACCCTCCTTTCCCTATGTACGTTAGTAACACACCCTCTGAAATTTTAAACCGGTACCTGTAATACTTGGGAGTGAAGATTTGAAAAATTGAGCATTATGAGGAGTTGTTGACGATCCAATTACATTTCTGCTAATATCGGACCTCTTCCTAAGAGATTGGGGTTCAATACTCCTCTTCTTCTGAAATCCCATATGGTTCTGCCAAAGAATGGAGTTTGGCTCTTTTGAGCCTTTTGTATTTATCAAATTTGAGGAATTAGTTTTATTTTCAGTAAGACTAAATCATCTAGGGATTACAACTTTACTTACTTCTCACGGCTTTTATTGAAGAATTGATGGGTCTTCCGAGGCACAAATTTCCCTTTATTAGGATATTGTCTACTTTTTACTTTTCCACTATAGTGAATACTCAGAGATTTTAGAAACCATGGAAGAAAACCCAATCGTGTGCTTCTATCAAGTCCGAAAATGATGAATAAATAATTAGTTGAAATCACCCTCTAGCTTCTCAAAACTTACCTTGTTAATGGTACTTTTGGGGTTTTCCCGTTCCTATGTGCAGGAGTAATGAATCCTAAATTCGTCTTCTTCAGCATCCTATATATCAAAATTACCCCTGAAAATATGTTTCAAAATCCCCTATCTCCTCCACTCACGACATAGGCTTTACTAACTCATTTTGAGCCATCCAATTGGTTATCCCAGAATTCATTTTTGTAAAGTTAATAGGAATTTTTATTTTATTTCAACTCTAAATTTCTTTCACGGGGTTTTGGGGTTTTGGGGTTTTGGGGTTTTGGGGTTTTGGGG